GCAGGGGGGGCTGCTTTCTATGCGCCGTGATTTCCTCTCCTGCTCTGCGTCTCATCTCTCAAAACTTGTGGCTGAGTTTATTTTCTTCTGATTGACTATGATTTTTTTTTTCTTCCCGTTCCTTGCCTTACCTTGAGAGAAACCTTAATTACATTTCAGTTCTTGAAGCTTTTAATTTTCTAGTGATGTGATTTCTAATGAAGAAGTTTGTTGCTCTTTGAGGTTTTTCAGCCAGTCAGAAGTAGGACATCTTACCGACGTTATCTCCCTTAACTCTTTTGTAAGAGTAGCTGCATAAAATAATGTTTATGTAATCAGTTTAATTTCCAGTAGCAGTTAAAAAGAATGTGAAAAATCTCGATATTCTTAGTTTAATAAAGCCATATTTCTTCCTGTGATATTTGTGTTTGCAAGGATTGAGATTCTGGTCCATGGTACTGCAGTCTGTAACAATAGGCTGTTTTTATTGATTTGGGAAGATTTAAACGTATGAGGCCAATGTCTTGATGTTTATCCTTTTATTCTGAATGGTGACTAGGTTAACGATGCTGAATATCTTTTACGAATCTTTGATTTCCTTGAGAGTAAATACGTAGATGCTTTTTATTAAATGTTACCTATGTATTTCAAGACCTGTTTCTTAAGTTTCTGAGCCTAGAATATCATGACCCCAATCCCGTTAGTTTTTTAATTTCTGAGATTGGTATGGGAAAAAAAAGTAGAGTTTAGGTACAATAAAAAATTTCTTAACTAAGAATGAGTGAAGGTAGGTCAAATAGTGAAAAACTAAGAGAAATTATTTCTGGAGAGAGGGCATCTGTAAGTGATGAAACTAGGAAGATAAGAGTGTTAAAGCATCTAAATGTTGCTACAGAAATGGACTGCCAAGAGTCCAAAAGCACGTGGAATGCTTGTCTTGGATCTGTCTTCTCCGTCCTTTCTCATTTGCAGCTGTGAGTGCCAGTTCTTCCCATCTGTTGGCTTAGGAAGTTCATATCCTTATCTTGCATTTTCATCAGTACATTCACATAAACATTAGGTATTAAGTAGAAGTTCTCTTAATCATTAAGGTCCTCTTAATGTTTCCTTACCATTCCCTTAGTTTGGACCAAACTGTGCATCTTCAGCCTTATTTCCTGTGGAAGTGAGACCCAGGCGAGCCCGCTGCCTGTCTGTTGCCACTTTCTCTGCTTCCCACAACTTTTGAACCTTTCAGCCAATTTCGGTGAAATCAGGCAGATGTTCTGAAGGTATGAACTTTCTACAGATCTGTGATAACCGAGGAGATGTAACAAGGTCTGAGTGAACATTCTTGCTGAGGGAAGGGTGATAGCGTGCACTCCGTGGACAGGTCTGTTTTGGCGGTGCTGAGCTGGCACTCCTGTGCTGACCCGTGATCAGTCTGTGTGTGGCTTGGAGGCAGCACCTGCCTCCTGCCACCAGTGGTTGGTGCACACGAAGGAGCTGGCAGTGGGAACGGGTTGTGAGATAAGGAGCCATAGAGTAGCAGGTAGTGAGGACTATTGTAATATACATACTCTGTGATAAAGGACAGAAATCTATTATAAACTATATTCTTGAGGTTTTTTGGACACCAGTGTTCATGGGGGAAAAAGCAGATAATACTGCCTTGTGGTCAAAGTCATGATATCCCCAAGTATGCTCCATCCCTTTTCTTTTTATCCCATCTTCTTTCTTTTTTTTTTATTTGTTTTACAAGCAAATGTCAGATACGTCTTTAAAACAGAATTCTGAGTTCATAAAATGAATAAAAGTTTGCGTACTGTAATGATTTGATAAGCGACCATGTTGTTAAAAGTTACATGTGTAGATAGATATTTTATTTTGTGCTTTATTTGTTGTTGTTTTTTCCCCAAATTGTAATTGCATTACCACACTAACAACAGGTGGAGGACAAAGATAAAAGCCAGGGTGTTGGAATTCTGACATGCCTTTCCAGCATTTAGTTAATCAAACAACCCTTTTCTCCCAATGTTTTCCTTTTAAACTTAGCTCCCAATTTATTATCTTTCAGAATCTAACACTTTTTTGGTAAAAGAATGTGATACTCTATCTGTTTTGTGTAATAGAGGTCTTGATGAAAAACATTTTAATACAATTATTGGAGAGTGTTATGTGATGTTCTAATGGACCCAATCTTACTAGTAAGATATTTTGGTGATGTTTAAATGCTGAAAGCTTCCCTTCCAAACCACTTTTGTTAAAAGTGGTAGGAGAGATAGTTTAGCTGTCTCAAACTGATGGAATTTCCAATGTGGATTCATAGTGAGAAAATATTAATAAATAGTTGAGTTTGAAACAGAACATGTAGAGGATTTGCATCTCCCAGATGAATCTATGAGGAGCAGGTCCCACTCAACTGGCCTACAGAGACAGAAAAATTAGTTCAGACCTTTAATATGAAGGGGTTTGGAGGGCTGCGTAGTTGTTTGGATTTTGTTGGTTCCCTGTCCCCTTGGTGAAGTACTGATTTCATATTAGTACTGGTTTAAGCTGGTGTAGATCAGTGTTCTTGAAAGCCAAGTAGTTCTGAGCTGTTGTAGACATATGTTAGGCATCCAAATTTGCTAGTACTTGTTTAAACAATGCTGATTTGATTGGTCTCACTGACATAAATCGGTACCAGAAACGTTTCTTCATTGGTGCTGTTGCCAATTGCTGTCAGAGAGGCCAAGTTCTGAAAAGGTTCTCCACTGCTAAGTTGTCACTGCCCATATCTGAATATACTATGGTTTTTGCAAAATTTTTTTTCTTCAGAACACTTGGACAAGCATCTTAAAAATTGTAACGCAGCGTTCCATATGGGATAATCAGTATATGAATCTGTCATTGTATTGTTTGGGAGTTGGGGGAGGGAATGTGGAATGCTCGGAGATTTTCTTTAGTGTGATGTCTTCTTTATATCTTTCAAGGTAGGTTAATACTAGAAGCACTCTAGATTGGAGTGTGAGTGTTGTCTTATCCGTTCTGTTCGGTAGATGCAGGAAATATGTGAGTCGAGCATATTTTCATCATCCAGGCTGAGTGAAACGTTATAAAGGTGAAAGTAGGGAGAGCAATTGGGAATTGAACTGGTGTTACTAATAAAAACCAAGTGATGGTTCTTTAGGAGGTGTCACGTGCAGTTGTGTCTCATCAGTTCTGCCTAGATATGAATTTAACGTGAAGCACATAAATATGTGAAAACTATTTTTGTTTTAAGAAATTAATTTAGCCTGAAGTAAAGAAGGCTTAGGTGGTTCGAATCGCCTCTTTCTGTCCTGTCTGGCCCTCTCTGATGCTGAACATGAGTCAGCAGGATGCCAGCTGCATTCTAGACTGTAGTAACAAGAGTTATCCAGCAGGTTGAGGAAGGTGAGTCTTCCCATCTGGTTGGTACTTATAAGACTACATCTGGTCACCACATCCAGTTCTGGATTCTCTGTTCCAAGAAAGGAACTGTAGCAAGTCCACTGGAGAGCCACCAAGATGATTAGGAGGCTGGAGCATGTGATATCTAAAGAGAGACTGAGAAGGCTGGGTTTCTTATCTGTAAAAGGAGGAAGTCTTATTACTGCCCACAGCCACCTAACAGGAGAGGATGAAGCTGGGTTCTTCTCAAAGCTGTACGGGGATAGGATGAGAAGAAACAGATGCAAGGTGGGATGTAGCAAATTCCAGGATGGTATTAGGAAAAGCTTTTTCACAGTGTGGTTATTCAGGTACTAGAAGAGGGGCCCAGAGGGGACTGTTGCATCTCCATCCTTGGAGATATTCAAAGCCTAGCTAGCCAAGACCCTGGTCTGATTGAACCTGCTTTGAGCAAGGGGTTGAACTAGGTGACTTCCACAGTTTCCTTCCAATCTGAATTATTCTGTGATTCTACTCTTTCTTATTCAATATATATTATCTTTTGTATCCTTAGCCAAATGAAACTAAAGCTTAGAGGGCCAGAAACCCCAAAGCTGCTAAAGCTCCTACAAGTCCCCAGAAAAACATTGGTCGAGTAGAAAGAGATACAAATTGGAACCTTTCATAACTCTTTTATGTTATGAAAGAGTTTCTCTTTTATGTTGTAGCCTTTCTGCTCTTCCTTCTGTTTGTTCCGCTGGCAGGGAGGTTGATGTGTCCGTCACGGTCAGCACAGCACGCTTTCGCAGCTGGTACTTGTGCTGCACGGAAGAGTGCTTGAGATGACTTGAGGTAATCTTGGGAGGAGTAAGAAGAGGGGAACAAGATGATGCCTTTTCACAATGAGGACAGTCAGGCACTGGAGCAGCTTGGCCAGAGAGGTTGTGCAGTCTCCTTCCTTGGCAGTTTTCAAGAGTGGAGCCTGGAACAATTTTGTCTGACATCATAGCTGACCGTGCTTTGAGCAGGTTGAACCACTTGAGGTCTCATCTAACCTGCGTTATCCTGTAATCCTAAGTAGGAGTAGTGGAAGGGGGAATGTTCTTAGGTGATGTGTAGAAAGGTCAGTGAGACGCAGGTGCATGCTGATGAGTCAAATATTTATTTACTGTTAAGCTGGGGGTACTTTGCTTACATCAGTCTTAGATTTTTTTTTTTTTTTCCCGGATGGACTTCTGTTTGTGTTCCAAGATCTTGTATCCCTCAGGTGGTAGAAACTTCGCAGGCTTTTACTTCACAATTCATGCTGAAGACGACTTGGCAGTATAACACTGTAACAAAATGATTAGTTTTTACCTGTTAGGTTTATTCCTTAATTCAAAAAAGCTTCCCTTAAACCTGTGTTTTATTCTGATGAGTCAGGTGTTTGTGACTTATCTTACTTAGGAAAGAACTAGGTGAATACAGGTGGGCTGTGGAAGTGACTAATATATCAACAAGTTAAAAGCACTTATTTTCCTCTGGTTCTGCAGATTTGCCTGGGTAACACAATGCCAGCTGAGCGCAAAAAGCCAGCAAATATGGAAGAAAAAGAATCTCCGTTAAATAATAAAGAAAAAGAATTTAGTGAAAGGCGACCAGTGAGCACCAGAGAGAAGCCAAAAGAAGATGTCAAGGTTGGCATGAAGAGAGAGACTTTAAAGGTTCCTGAAGATAAAAAGAAAAAACTGGAAGAGGATAAAAGAAAAAAGGAAGACAAAGAGCGGAAGAAAAAAGAAGAGGATAAAGTAAAAGCAGAAGAAGAGCAAAAGAAGAAAGAAGAAGAAGAAAAAAAGAAACTTGAAGAAGAGGAGAAAAAGAAACAAGAGGAGGAAGAGAAAAAGAAACAAGAAGAAGCAGCTGCTCAACTGAAGTAAGTTGTCCTTTAATGGTTTAATTGAGCCAAATGCTGTAGTCCTGGATTGTCACAATGTCATTATTGTGGGCAGAATTACAAAAGATGAACTGACTGACTTATAGTGAGTTGTATGTAGTGTTATAAATTTTACCTGGCTAGCTGAGTGTGCTTTGTGACTTCTGCATAGTTTTTGAGTTTTCCTCTCTAACCTCTGTTACTTTAGTCTCTGGTACGGGTTTTTGATAGTGTTCTCCATGTGATGGCCGTGTAATGCACAACTGTGCTTGAATAAAGAAGCACAGTTTCTTTCAAGATGGAGAAGTGTTAATGTTGTAAGATTTCTAATATGGGCCCTGACAGGTCCACAGACCATAACAGGAGCAAATCTACTGAGAGGGATGGCTGTAACTTCTTTTAATCAGTCCTAGACAGTTGATAGCTGGATGACAAACACAGAATGTCATCTGGCAGTTTAATATCTGATATTCCCAAGACAATGTTTATGTATGTTATCACGGGTACTACGGTGTCGAGGATAGCATCTTTAGACCAATAAAGCCGAGATTCCAGACACTCTTCTGTTTGAAATATGTTACTTTCTGAGACTGAGGCAATGTCATAGCTGAATTGTAGCTGGGACAAATGTACTGTGTAAAAATTTTCTGTGTAGTTTCAGTAGTCTGGGAATAAAACATTTCCCTTAACTGCGTGATCCAGTAACCTGTTGAAAAGTTGTTCTTTTCTGTAAGAACTTCATCTCTGTCTGGAGTATATGGAGTTTTATGTTTGTGTTTTCTAAGTCCATTGGGATTAGTATGTCCTGCATAGAAATATTTGAGGTATTCCATTTTTTAAGGAGTAGTGCTTGCCTTTTGCAACAAAAAATTAAACAGAGTAGTTTATGAAGCAGATGCTTTAGCCTTCTAGGATTAACTTGTTAAATACTTAAAAATAGAGTATTAAGGGGAAATTGTGTTTAGAACTACTGGTTTCCAAGTATGACCTTTTTTTTTTTTTTCAACTATTAACCTGAAGGTAAGGTTCTGTACTGAAAGTGACTAAATTTTATTTCTCTTAGAGAAAAAGAGGAAGCACATCAGCTCCATCAGGAGGCTTGGGAACGCCATCAGGCAAGGAAAGAGCTTCGCAGCAAAAACCAGAACGCACCAGACAATCGCCCTGAGGAAAACTTCTTCAGCAGACTGGATTCCAGTTTGAAGAAGAACACGGCTTTTGTTAAGAAGCTAAAAACCATTACAGAGCAACAAAGGGACTCCTTGTCCCATGACTTTAATAGCCTGAATTTAAGCAAATACATTGCAGAAGCAGTAGCTTCTATTGTGGAAGCCAAACTGAAAATATCAGACGTGAACTGCGCTGTGCACTTGTGCTCCCTCTTTCACCAGCGCTATGCGGATTTTGCTCCGTCGTTACTTCAGGCTTGGAAAAAACATTTTGAAGCAAGGAAAGAAGAGAAGACTCCCAACATTACCAAGTTAAGAACTGATCTGCGTTTCATTGCAGAATTGACAATAGTTGGGATTTTCACTGACAAGGAAGGTCTGTCTTTAATCTATGAGCAGCTTAAAAATATTATTAATGCTGATCGAGAATCCCACACTCATGTTTCTGTGGTTATCAGCTTTTGTCGGCACTGTGGAGACGACATTGCCGGTTTGGTACCAAGGAAAGTGAAAACTGTTGCAGAGAAGTTTAACTTGAGCTTTCCTCCTAGTGAGATAATTAGCCCAGAGAAACAACAGCCCTTCCAGAATTTGTTGAAGGAATACTTTACGTCTTTGACCAAACACCTGAAAAGGGACCACAGGGAGCTACAAAATATTGAAAGACAAAACAGGTGACATTTAAATGTTGCTTTTTATTTATGGAGAAAAAATAGTGTATGAAATGCCTAGATTTGTTCCAGTATTTGTAAAAAAAAGTCTGTCAGCAGTGTGTAGAAGATAAGTGTATTCTGCAATATATCTAAAAAAAGTTCTAAATTTGCTCTGAATCCTTAAAAAGCAAAAACCAAACAGACTTTTTTGGATAACTTTAAAGAAGTTGGAGGTTGGCTTTTAAGTTTAATTCTCTTAACTCTGTTAATTTGGTGATGCTCCTTTAGCAGCTTCAGAGTAACACTTCTTTTCCAGCTGGTACTGTCCTTTTCCAGTTGGCAGAATCTGATTTCTCCCTTTCCACCCACACATACCTAACAAAGTGTATGCCACAATGGCTTTGGCTTGGTTACCTTTTTTAGTGTCCCAGTAAGGAGGAAGAATTGGGTTAGATTAACGAGGTATCCCTTGCACTTTAATGTAGGCAATTTTTTATATATTGAAATGTTGGAAGCTATAGATAATTTGATTCAAATCCTCTTAAATGTTTATATGAAATATTAATACTGAAAGGTAAGAATATACACACCTTTAGGATCTGAATAATTTGATTTCGACCATGACAGCATTGTTTAATAATTGTTTGCTTCTCTTCAAAGCATCCTGAGTTGTCATTATTGGAGCCAGCCTAAACCCAACTGCTGGTCTTAAAATGTGGTCATTCAAAACATGGTCATTCTTAAATCCTTTTGGAATCTTTCCAAGTAGATAGAAATGAACGTGTTACTGTGTGCGGGCACAGGTTTCAGTCCAAAGGCTGAACATGGCTCTAGAGGCAAATGTACGCTGGAATACGTTAAAATGTGATGTTCTCAAACCAAGGCTTTAAAGTTGGATCCATTGTGCTGAGGGATGTTCTGTTGCAGTCCTGTCCTATCTCAGCCAAGTGGTGTATTTCACAGGACCATAAAGTGACTTCTGAACTACCATTCTACAAGTACCTTTTTACTTTTTTAAACTGAATTAGTATAATCTCTTATGCTTTCATAATTGTAATTGGTTTGGGGCACAATAGTTCTGGCTGGGATTTCAATGACCGAGTGTTAAAAAGCCCCTATGATAGGAAGTTAAGTGAAAAAAATTTCCAAGAGGTATGAAGAGTTTTAAGAAACCACGAAGAAGAAAGAAAAGTGATCTGGGAGGGGGAAACAGAGTTTAATATTTACTTGCATGACTGGATAAAATGTCTGGGCAGAGCCCTGAGCAGCCTGGTTGCATCTCCTCGCTGCACCTGCTTTGAGTCGGTCAGACTGGAGAGCTCTTTGTGCACCTTATCGTCTGCATGTCCCTGTGAACTGGAGTGCAAAGCTTTGTGAAGAACTATCATTTATTACTAGATTAAGAGAATTCTATTGTTTTTCTCTAGCTGAACTTTAAGGTGTTTATTTTAAGTGCTTAATGAAAGCCAGGGAATAAGTTTTGTTAAACAACACATCAGAAAGCTTTCCTACCTAGTTTTGTTTGCTTATAATATCTCTCTTAAAACAGAGAGGTTTTTGGCATTTGCATGCTATGGAAGTGCAAGGCATGAGGTCAGAGGCAGAAACTTGCCTGATAAGAAGTCTGTGAATACTGTAGACATCTTTCTAAACTATGGATTTGGGAAAGCGATTGTGTGGTTGTTTGGCTTTTGGTTGGTTTGTTGAGTTTGTTTTTTTTTTTTAAAAAAGCAATAATTCTGTTGGAAAAAAACAGTCCTCCGTGTGTTTGAAACCTGATCTGCTTCACTGACAGCAACAGCTTTTATTCCCACTGTTATTCCAGAACTGGTTAAGTGAACAGGGAGTGAACTGTTCCCTCTCATGTATCAATGGTGTCGTATGTTTAGTTTATGATATTTTGTCAGGTAAATACCTGTTGAATTTATCTATGTCAGGAGAGTGACTGTGGGATAACTCGAGCTGTACAGACTGGTTGAGTTAATTGGAAGTTAATATGTTAACCAGTGTTACCTGCTGAATCATTCAGGTAGAGTTAAAGCGTTATTAGACACAAGGGTTTCTGCAGGAAACTACCTCAAGTTACGCTTTGACAAGAGAACCTGGTGGTTGTTCGGTTACACAGCTAAGGGCAGAGCAAAATCCGTGCAGGCTGTGTCCTTGGAAGGAAGCAACTTGATTCCCAAATTTTAGTGTCAGTTTTCAAAAGTGAGTGTTAGATATGGAATAAACTTCTTTTGTCTAAATTAAGGATGTTTTTAAGACCTGATGAAGCTGCTCTGTGGCACTTTGTGAAATTCTGTAGAGACGTTAAGATAAATACTGTATGCTGTACTTTTAATTGTATTCAAAAACAAATTGTGCTTTTTAAAGTTTGCTTGGTGTGCTTTAGCTTGCTTAAATTTGTTAACACTTGTCCTGTGCGAGCTGAAACTGGGAACTGAAACTCTTGTACTGTTGTTACAGCACTTAGCTTTTTTTGTTTTTTAGTAATAGCGCGCAGCTTCAGTGCTTAAAATGCATACCTAATGGATAGCTGTCTCCATGAAAAGGCTGTGAATTGGCACTTAACATGTTTCCTGGTTCCAAATTGAACTGCTATACTTTAGAAATTGTCGTTGGCTATTTAATTTATTAATTTTTCTTGCTGTACTTTGCAGGGGCAGGTAATACATGTTATATAGGCATGTTTTTGTAAAAGGGACAAGAAACAGAACTTTTACTAACATTACTGTTTCTTGCCTTCCAGCAAGACATCTGTGTGAAGTTTTGGTTCTGAGCAGGTATAAGAGATTTTATTGCTTGCCCTGCGAATGTGTTGAGTACAAATGACTTTTGTTTTACAATTCACCTGGAACTGGAAAAAGACAAGATTGATATTCCTCAACTTACTTTGCCTAAACTGTTGTAGAATTTTTATGCCCTAAAACGTTACGGTCTTTTGGCAAGAACGTGATTGTAGCCTGATGATAATGTAATGATCCAACCTGCCTTAGGAATTACGGCATTTGCACTTTCAGACTTTGTCTTCCGATGCTTCCATCTCGGTGCAGGGTGCATTGTCAGTGGTTACAGCTAGTTAGTCCGATGTTACTGGCATTATTTCAGCTACGGTAAAACATGGGAAGCTTGCTGGGCAAGCTCATTCTGTCAGCTTCCCTTGGAATGTCCATGTTTGATCTGAGCCCACTTGTACCTTTGCTGTAGTAGGGCCCCAAAGAGCCCAGCCAGCCTGAAGTGTCCCTTACTGGTAAAGAACTGACTGTACCTTGTCTGTGTAAGAACTGTTCGTGCAGGGTGGATCATGCCACAGATGAGGAAAATGCGCTTCCCGGGAGCCCTCGTTGAGGACAAACTAGAGCATTGCTAATGAGCAACCCAGTTTATTCTTAGTTAACCCAAAATCAAGGATGACAGTCTTTCATCAGTCGTTGTCTTTGTACTAGCAGAGATTACATTCTTCTGTGTATTTGATACAAACTAGTGAAGGTTCTTGATAATTTTTTGTTTAAAATCCAAGATGACCTAAATTGTAGTTTGTTGAGAAAATTGAGTTGCACTGTTCTGCATGTCATCCTGAAATGGCTTTACTGTGCACTAGGAATTCGTGATTAGATCCCTTCAAACGCAGGTTGCTTTTGACAATAGATTTCAATTTTTAAAATGAGAATTTAAAAGAAATATGGTTAGTTTTGTAAGAGAAAACAAAGAGCAAGTGAAAAAACCAAATGTAACTGCTCTTAGTTTGGGCTGATAGCCATGAAATAACTTGGTTTGGAGAATTAATGGGCTGGTTTTAAGGAGCAACTTTTTTTGAGCCTCCTGGCGATGATTGCCCATTTAATCTTTTGAACAACGTAGAAATGTATTGTTACAGATGCAAAGCAACTTCATGTAAGTTGAATATTTTGATCTACTACAAAAGTATTTTCATAGTTCAGGACTGTTACAGGATAACCATGGCAAAAAATAAGTCACCCTTTCTCTTTGGACACTGAAGTTCGAGTTTCTGTGACGGTACTATCCTCACTGATATTGAAGTTGGTAATTCAGTATGGTTGTTTAGAAAAAAATAACATTGCTGAAATTTTTGCTATTGCCATCTAAACCAGAATTCTCACAGTTCCATCGAAGGGAGAAGGCTAGCTTTGCTCACAGAAATTGGTAGTGGTTCAGCATAGCTCAAATATATTTTAAGAAGAAGGGTCGTCTTACTGTAACTTTGATTTTCGTAGGCGCATTCTTCACTCCAAGGGCGAGCTGAGTGAAGATCGACACAAGCAATATGAGGAATTTGCGATGTCGTATCAGAAGCTGTTGGCGAATTCTCAATCTCTAGCTGATCTTTTGGATGAAAATATGCCTGACCTTCCCCAAGAGAAACCAACACCTGAGGGTAGGCCACCTTCTAAAGGGCATAAACAGGGTGCTGGGCTTGGCTTGGATGTGGTGGGAAAGCTGACCAAACCCTCTCAGTGGTGTGTTCTTTCCATTGATTTCTTTTTGTTTAGGCTTTCCTCCTTAAGGTTATTAACAAATTAGTAATGTATGTTTATTTATTAAAATAATGAAACCTAACATGTAACCATAACTGTTATATATGCTGTGTATTTACAGAAACCTAAGTAATATTTCTTGAGATTTGTTTCGAGTAATGTAGGAATAATTGGAAAATTAAAAATGTTTTTAATCCTTTCCATTTAATGTAGTGCATTTCTTAACACTAGAAGAACTGTTTATGTTAGAATTCTAAAATCTGATATTGTTCAAAAATGGGTTTAAAGTATATTTTGGGTCATGATGTTAGAGCAGGAACATATTGTTAAGCCAGATAAGTCACCGGGTGGCCCTCTGACCTCCTGAGAAGTACAATGTTGAACTGGCAGAGCTCTTCAGTGCCTTAATGAATCTCAAATTTTAGATTTAGAGATGATGTTGAAATCACGAGTGTACCTTTTGTCTGGAGTTATTCTAAGCTTAAAAACCCCTGTATTTCTTGAATGCCCCTAAATTTAAAACTACTCTTTAAACTTCTGTTCTTAAAATACAATGGGATACGGTTTGTCATAGTCAAAGCAATGGCTTTTTATGCTACCATGGTTCAAGTCTGTCACAGCTTTTCTTTCTGATAGCACATAATGTGCTGTTTGATTTTACTTGATTTGGCTTTCACACTGATAACTGTGTTTTGTATCAATGTCAAATTTACGATTCCAAAATAATTTATTGCTATATCTAATATTAAGATCGGATTGTTAAAAGTGCTTTAAAGTAGACGTTGCAATATTTAAGTGAAAACGATGGTGGTAATAGATAGGTTAACATGTTTCTAAATATTTTTTTTTTAGTCTTTAAAGGTGCCTCAAATTTGTGTGAATACTTTTCTTATGGTTTCACTGTTTTTGCAGAACACGGACCTGGTATTGATATTTTCACACCAGGAAAGCCTGGAGAATATGACCTGGAGGGTGGTATCTGGGAAGATGAAGACGCTAGAAACTTCTATGAGAATCTCATCGACTTAAAGGCTTTTGTGCCAGCAATTTTGTTTAAAGATAATGAAAAATGTTCCCAGAACAAGGATTCCGGCAAAGATGAATCAAGAGGTAGAATGCTTAGATGAGTATTTTTTTTTAACATGTCTTGTCCAACAGGTATGCAAATTTGATGGAAGTCATGAGTCTCTAATGAAATAATTTGTGATGATCAGGACAGTATACCAGTTTGGGTGGTTTTTTAGGGAAGAAACTGTGTGGATAGGATTATATCTGGGTATGATATTTAAAGAAGAGAAAAAAGTAAATGCATTTTAATATTTACAGAATCTTAAATTTAACATAATGGGAGATGAACCAATGTGAGTCAATGTTAACTTTTCCGTGAGAAACCTAAAAATTTACCTTCTTTGAAAGATGTTAGTGTTCATTCTGTTTTTTCCACTAAACTGTTTATGGTAGCTAACTGTCTCAGTATAAAATTCCAAAGGATGGAAAGGCCTGGATGGTTCCTGGCTTCTGACACAGCTCTAGGTTCACAACCAGGCATTAGTAGACTTTAGTTGTGGTGGGGTAAAAACGACTTTCACTGCCACTGGCTCCAAGTGGAACAGAAGGTTCATGTTTGGATAAGAGCAGTGTTTTGGCACTGAGGAAATGCCAGAAAAGACGTAGGCTACATGATTTTCTAATATACATGCAGTAGGTCAGTGCTGAGTGTTAATGGAATTTCAGCTTTGTAGCTCATGGCCTTCTTCCTGATTTCCAAATTCTGAGATGTCCCTGTGAGGATAATTAGGTGTTGGAGCAGCTTGCCCAGGGAGTCTGGAATTTCTGCTTTAAGAGATTTTTCAGGACAACTGGAAAAAGCCCTTGAGAAATCTGATCTGAATACAGTGCTCATCCACTTTGAACAGAAGGTTGAACTAGAGACCTCACCAAGGTCCATTCCAGACTAAATTAGTCTGTGATTCTGAACAGATTGCTTGCTTCGGGAGTCTACTATTTCCATATGATGTGTACACTATTTAGTTGTTACATTTTTGTTTGAAAAATATAAGTATTTTACTAAGGTTATTTACCTTGGAACTTTTTTTAATGAAGCATAGTCTGCAATGGAGGCTTGGAGGAGGCCTAAAAGCATAGTAAAATGTTGTACGTAGTAATCTCTTGGAAAAATGCTGTATGCTGGACCAGTGTTGTTGTGCAAGAAAAATAGAAGCTATTCCTTTCTGAATCTTCATTTAGAGATTCATAGATTATTGGTTTTCAAGGAAAATACAAATTTTATTTGACCTTCTACATAGCACATTATTTCTTCAGTATCTTCCTCCTGTTGTGCTTTTTGTTTGTGTGTTTTTTTTCTTGGTCTGTGTGGAACACTTTGTTTACTTTGCTTTGTCAATTTTGTTATGAGTCGAGCTATGAAGAATATGCAGTGCAAACATTAAATGAGAATTTGTACCTTCGAATCTGGCTCTTTTTGAATAATGTTTGTGGTATTTATTTACTGGGGTTTTGGAGGATGCTTTTTTTTTTTTGTCTGACCTTCCCAGAATGCACGTCCCTTGTTTGCTTGCCCTCTCCATGTGATGGCCTGGCAATCCGTTTTAAGCACTTTTGCTACATTTCTGAATGTTTTGTGCCATTTGAATGTATACATGTCATCCAATGAAGATGTACCCGGTATAGTTCATAACAAACTAAACCACTAAAAACTGTTGGCAATCCTTAACAGACCCCAATGTAGAGAAATGTTTGCATTTTCAGGCATATTGGTAAAGCTGAATGATGGATATCAAACCACTGAGACCTACCATGAGACAGTATAGTCTCAAGAAGTAGATGTTCTTTTCCCCATTTCCTTTTAATGAGACAAAGACACTAGAGAGACATAGATTTAGCAACGTGAGTCTTCCTGTATTCTAATCATGGCTGAGTGTATTTAATAGTTTAATATTTCTACTTAACTTCTAAACAGATTCAAAAGATGCCAAAGATAATAAAGAAGGACCTGGAAGTGAGGATTTGGAGTTGGAGCTGGAGAACTTGGACATTAATGATGATCCCCTGGAGTTAGACTGTGGAGATGAGGCAGAAGATCTTACAAAAAAGCTTCTTGATGAGCAAGGTAAGAAGGATTGGTTTTAGGAAGTCTTTGTTGTTTCCTGATTGTTGGGTTTTGGGTTTTTTTGAGCTTGGTGGTTTTCAGTCAGTAGATACAGTGACTTCAGGGAGAACTATTTATGAAACTTCAGTAGGTAGAAACTGTTAGGGTTGTGGTAAAAAATGCATTCATAACGAGACGTTCAGATACAAGTAAAAAGTATTATATAGGGGTTCATGTAGTGAAAGTTACTGATTCCTTCATGCAGCTTTTAAAAATAATCAAATACGAATGCAGTTGTCTGAAAAGTGACTAGAAAGAAGTATGTAGACTTCAGTGCATAAATGATTTTCTCATCAAATGTGCTTAGGGTGCTAATAAAGTATTTTCTGTTTTTAACTTCTCTTGAAATCCAAGACTCAGCTCTGCCTTTCTGTCTTGTTAATCATTAAAGACTCTTATTTTCATGTTATGACTATACATAGCAGAATTTAAGAATTCTAGCCTCTAAATATGCATAAAGGGCTACAAATGGCAACTGTGAAAATCTAGCTGTGTTAATTTTACTAGGGGAAACAGCAGCAAAATGTTTCTTAATAATTTTTCTTATGAATTACAAGTTTTTCTTTCAGTGTTACTGAGTAGTGGGAAAAGCAACATCTGGTGTTCAGAGCCAAATTTGTAGAGGAGCAAGTGAGGTGTTTTCTTTGAGCCTGGTTTGTAAGACACATCAGTGTTCTGCTTTGAGTTTCCAAGGACCAATGCAGATTATTTTCTTTCATTTCTGAAGCTGAAAACTTGTTCTGTGTCTAGAATTTGGAAAAAACAAATCAAAAAACAACATCTGGCGTTCACTGGCTAGAGATTCTGTGGCTTAAAAGTGGAAGTCCTACCTGCTCTAGTGAATTTATAATCTAATCATCCTCTTGCTTGAACCTATCTTGGACTTTAAAAGCTCAAAGTGAAAGGCAAAACTTCAAGCTGTGGAGTTGGCATCAAAGCAAAGGAGCTCAGCCCTGGCAAAGACTGTGTACTGATGTTGGAAGCGTAGGTTCATCCAGCCAAGCTGATGCATGGATCTCTGGGTTTGGGTGTTGAGTCCCTCGAGGAACCCCTCATCTGGCAACAGAGATGGGTTAGGGCATAGGGGTCTTCAAATTGGGTGACTCTCTTGTGTACCTGAAGTTCGTTGAGCTGAAATTAATCTTGGAACTATGCTGGTCTGTGACACCTCACAAATTCAAAGAAATTAGCTCTGGAATCAGACTGTTTCAGACTCCCTCTGAAAGGAAAGCTGTCAGGATAATTCTGTATAGTACTACCTTAGGTTTTTCCTTTCTTTAGACAGATTGGAAAAAGCCATACTTTCTTTGGAATAAATTTTCCCTTCCATTTGTATTCTTAAATTTGAGTAGTCATCAACTCGTTAAGCTGGTTAAGATGTTAAGTGCAGGACGTTCACCTTGAGTGAGCTGTTATCCTCCAGTCAGAGATGTCAAACAAAACAGTGAAGAGCTTGGTTCCAGCTGTCTGGAAGGGAGGTACGTAGAGATGTTCTCTTGAAACAAAAGTCAGAAAGAGCAGTTCATTCCAGATTGGTCATGGCCTGCTGGATAGGCCAAAAATACCTTGTCAATAGGCATCTAAAGGAACGCAGATATTTCCATCTTGTCTTTTTTTGAAGGGATTCTTGACTTAATAGGAGGATGAAGATTGTTCCAAATATAAAGACAAAGCCAAATAACACGAGAGTGAGATCCTGTAGAAGTGAGGAAGTAATAATAGGACATGAGGTCAGAACTAGAAGGAGGTGCATTCTCTGTATAGTTCCAGCTCATTGGGAGGCAGTGCCAGTTTGTGAATGTACCATGGCACAGAAAGGATGGATGATCGTGCTTTTGATTGTAAAAGGAATGTGATGCATGTTTTGTCATAGTCTAAAATATTAACAATCGATACTAGTTTCTGTTTTTAAACTAGCTATTGACTGAGCATTAAACATACTTCCATCCGAAAAGTTAATCTAAAATATGTCAGAATGTTGTTTTTTTATCTTTAAACAGCCAACCCTTAAAGAAATCTTTACTTTCTACCTTGTGAAGGTAATGTCATTTGGCTCACAACACAGGCTTTTAGTGGAGACCTATTACTTCATGATTGTCTTTTCTCGTTCGTTTATTTTTTGTGAAGCATGTAGAAACTTGGTGTCTTTGGGAGTTCTGTACCTTTGTCAAATTTATTTGATACTTACAAGTAGCTTCATAAATTAATGATGGAAATGAAAATAGATATGATCGCCAAATCCTTGTTCTGCTAGAAAACTAGGCTATAAGTTGGCAGTGTTAGTTTACTTGAAACATGTAGAGAAACACAGTGATTTTTTCAGAGGGGAGGGTGGGGCGTGTGTGTGTAATTCTGAACACCCCTAGTTCGTAGCACCAGATACACAGAATTAACAAAAATCTGAATTTAGATTTTGTTTTACGTTCTTTATTTCCATCTAGGTAAGTTTTTCCCAGCCTTTCTCTTAAGTAAAATTCACTTAGGTTTGAAATGAGGAAAATTAGGTGTCTTTAAGCTACAAAAATATAGCTTTAACTTTTTTGAGTTTAAATTTTTGTGCATTGGTACATCAGGTAAGTTAGTAATATTTTGTACAAAGTCAGCAAAAAATGAAACTACTGTATTGTGACGTTATTAAAAACGTAAACCAGAGTATTCCTAGATTGAGATGGGCCTTTAATGTAAAAAGAGAGAATGCGTGAGGTATAGCAGGGTCTTAGATCATAGAATCATAGAGTAGTTTGGGTTGGAAGAGACCTTTAAAGCTCATCTAGTCCCATGCTGCTGCAATGAGCAGGGACATGTTCAACTGGATCAGGTTGCTCAGAGCCCCGTCCAGCCTGATGTAAGGTCCCAGATGAAAAGTAACTTTAGTTATCGTGATAATCTGGGGGTGTGGATTTCATTGGCAGAGGGAAGAAGTAAATTATGCAGGGGGAAATAGGATAGAGTAGACAGTCCAGTCAGGCAGTGGGTACTGCATATCTCTTGTTACGTCTCCATCTCCTTCTGGTGGTTAGGCTATCACTTCTCCTTAGTCTTTTCTCCCCCATCTCCCAAATATGAGGGAGACAAAGCCGTTTTCCAAAGTGTTATGTGTTTCTTAAAGCAGGTCTGTCCTGCTGTAGCATCTTTCACAGCATTTCAGTGCCCGTTTCTGCCCTTTTTTCCCTAAAGGTTAGAGTCTATAGTCAGCTGAGTTTAAGAGAAGACATGTAAAAGGAAAGTCAATACTGTTAGTTGAAGATGTTTGTTTACCAGGAATTCAGCTAATTTATTTTGTTTCTCTATTGTGCTAACTTTGAGTGAATCTTAATTTTCTTATTTTCAATATGCTCAGGGAAGAGAGAGGGAGCAGATAGCACCGGAGCTGAAAATAGTGGCGGAAAACATGCTGAAAGAAGTGAGTTTTGAGGTTATTTTTAAAAGAGAAGATAAAATGTAAAAAATAAAGCTGTATGAATGGAGACAAAGATGTTAAGTAAGGAATGACAAAGGTGGAGGCCATCAAGGATACTGGGAGCAGGAGGCCTCTGATGTTAATATATATTTAGAGCCAGTTTTTGTAAGGTTGGTCAGCAGCAGAGATGACGTGTAGAAGATGAGTATTAAGTCAACCCTGTTAATACTGCTGCACTGTTTACAGAGCTAACAAGAGTTCCTGTCAGAAGAGCAGGAATTTAGAAAAGATGTAAAAATATTCTTTAATGAATATTGTTTGGACTTGGATGACTTGCAAGACTGTGTTCTGAATGCATTCCTCAGTGAGGCTTCTCTTCAACAAGATATTTAGTGTTATGCTCATGCCTAAGTGTTGTGCAGAGAGGAGGATCCAGCCAACAACTTGCTCACAGTTCTGGTTTGTACCTTCTGCATGTGAAGGCTCCTGCATGATCAAATTCATTACAGAAGCTCATCTCAGAATAATGGCTACTAGGGTTACAAAAGCATTTTTGTTATTTCCCCTGTCTGGGTGATATTATACAAAGTAGACTGAAGCTTTCAGGCAGAGTGAAATTTCTAGGAGAGCCCTCTAAGGTAATGATTTTGTAAAAATTTAAAAAAGATGTTAACAATACAGGAGCCAGGGCTTTCTCAGGAAGTATCTATATAAGGAGAGGGGGAGGCAAATAACTGCTCCTGAATTAGAAGATTGTTGCAGAACAAAGTGCTTAGGGTCTTTTCATACTTTCTCCCTGATAATTGCAGGATTGTATGCATTTCTGGTTAAATATAAAGGTGTTTAAAAATAAAAATAATTTTTCTTTCAGTCCCTACAATGATCTTACTGCATAATTTGATCTGCACCCAGATGGACTATTACAAATAGTCTAACTGTAATTGTTATACGTTAGTACTAGCAGTAAATTTTTAAAAATTTTACAGTTTTAAAATGTGGTGATGATGAAAGACTGGAACTCAAGAGGATCAAGAAATGAACTATTTTTTTTTTTTGCATGAATTACATACTTAGAATTGTTGTTTGCCTTAAAAAAGAAAGCTCTGACCATTTCATTTCCTGTCACTGTAAAATTCTGAATTTTCTGGTTTAAGTCCCAAAACTACTACAGGTATTACAAAAAAGCCTTTCCACTTAGGAAGGATCCATACGCTGTGATGAGAAGGAAATACCTAGAAATATAACATGAGAATATCTGTAGCTCTCCAGTGAGGGAGAGGACCAGTGAAAGAAGAGATATATTTGGGAACTGTTAAAATTTAATGTGATAGCGGGTCCTCTTGGAAGATTGTCTTGAAAAGTGGCTGAATTGTCGAAGACTTATTTTTTTAATTTATTTTGAGAGCATTGAGTCAGTTTGAGAGAAGACTGAGGTGAGACAACTAAAGGCTATAAGGGAAAAGGGGGAAACTAAAAGGAGACAAAGGTGTGCCTGTAATTATCTACATGGAGAAATGCATTAAAATGAGATTTAGTAGTAAAAAATGTCTGATTTGAGCTCATTTGAGCTATTGAGCATGAGCTATATGCATGCATCCTAGTGAACTCTAACTTTGGGTATATGGGTGATGAGAGAGTCAAGAGTTCCTTAATCTTCATGGTCCTCTTTTGTCTGAGCGTCTGGAACATGTTCCTTCTCTTTTTTCTCCTTTCTTAATGAACCCTTCTCTCTTGTTGTTCTGACTTCTAGTTGCCTGTCCAAGGAGGAGGCAATGTCATCTGCCTTAATCTCTAGCATCTTCAGGATGGGGTAGCTGGCAGTGTTCCTTGGAACAATTCTTAGTGTTTCTCTACCTAAGCTCAACCCCTGCCCCCAGCTGTCTCCAAAAAAAACACCGAGGAAAAAAGTCCTACAGTGTAGCATCTTTGTTTTCTGCTTGCCTTTCACTAACTTGAAGTAGGAACTTCAGTCTTTTAGGCTAGTTTACCTTACTGTGTAGCCTGTAAAGACAAAGTGACTTTTCCAAGTCTTGGATGTTTTGTAGTTTATTTTATTTGCGTGCAGTTTCACCACCACAGTATTCACCTTTTTGAAGTCTGTCTGTCTCTGTTCTGCTTTCAGATACCTCTTGGGTGTTCTTGTTACAGCTGAATATCCTCAAACTGAAAGGAAACCAAATGTCATCATGTTCCTTTTTCAGGAAGCAGTATTCTTTTGTGTTGCTTTGGCCAAGGAAGGGTACTTTCCAAGCATTTGTGTTACAACTCACTGTTTTGGATCATGTTGTGCTACAGAGCAAATTAGATTCTTCTCTAGGATTTAATAATCTGGAAATTTTTTAAAGCATGCCACATGTTTTGCAATTAAAGAGTCACTGTGAGGGGACTGATCTGGTGAGACCTGATGTCAGAAAATCTGAATTTCAATGGTAGAGTTGTCCTGCAGTCTTTTCTTAAGTGGTGTTACTGGATCAATTGGTTAGATACAGGTCACTGTCACTGCTTCCTATGTTGCAAATTATGTGGAAGCATTTGTTTGAAAAACAAGTTGTCACTTGCCTTGCGATTGCAACGTGATCAGCCTTCTGTCCTTGTCGCTTTATGGTCCTCTGCTCCGGTTTCTGTACAGCTGAAGGAATTAAGTTGACCTCTAGCTTTTACAGCCTCAAGTGAAAAGATGTCGAGAACATTCCAGATGAAAGAGTGGCATTAATGGACATTTTTGATGAAAAATTCTATTTCTCCTGCAGGCAGTAAAAAGTAGAATCCACAACTGCATTAAGGTGTTTTGCTTTGGGTTTTTTTCTATATTATTCTCTCCCATGTTCAGGCCTTCTCATGATCCTTCTTTGGTCACCTAAGGAAATTACCCTGTTTTCTAGGAATGTATATTTGTTCTTGCTCTTGACAGTATAAATTAAGAGGCAGGGAACTTCATGAATAGGAAGACAAGTTTTAAAGGTTGACATAGACCATCACTGAAATACCTTTTATTTGTATTAAAAAATGAAATTTTATTTTCATCTTTGTCATATTTTTTTAATCTGTGAATGAATGTTTAACAACTAAACACTACAAATGTGCTATGTTTGGGGAATGTGATAGTAAGTAACTTTATTTCATAGCTCAAAGATGTGTGCTGCTTGTTTATTTCACTCTGTTAGAACAAGAGGATGAAGAAGCGAGTACTGGATCTCATTTAAAACTTATAGTAGATGCTTTTCTTCAGCAGCTTCCAAATTGTGTCAACAGAGACCTCATAGACAAGGTACAGTCATAGTTTCCACTTTTTCCACTCTTAAAGGCTATAATGCTAGATCAGATTGATCAGAAATTAAGATTTGAAGCTTTGGAGTCTGGCTGTAGCTGAATTAATTTTTAACCTGGAGGAAATGTTTTATTTTCCTCACTTAGTCAGCCATTGCCCAAATACCATGTGGTACTGGTTTTGTCTGCCCGTTTTCCTACGTGTTAGTTTGTTTAAGAAGTAGACTTGGCTTTTTTCCTTTTTTCCTCTCATCACTCCCTGGCAAATTACTCCCCGTCTACCTAAAGCTGCTTTCTTCCTCGTGTTGATCCAAAGAATCAGCCTGTTTTCCTATGACTGGACATGTTTTCTAACTATGTCAGTTAGAGAAAAATGAAGGTTTTTCTCTATGGTTGTTTTTAAAGCAGCTGCGTGTAACAGGAATAGCTCTGTAAAAGATGCTTTTGAAAAGCATGCTGTATTGCTTCAAATAAAAAACCTGCATTAAAGGTGAAATATTGCATTGACTTTTCTCTTTGTAGGCGGCGATGGATTTTTGCATGAATATGAACACAAAAGCCAACAGAAGAAAACTAGTACGAGCACTTTTCATAGTTCCTAGACAAAGGTAAGAACTGAAGGGGAACAAGGTGGATCCACCATTTGGTTATTTAACATAACCCATGTATATATTTTTTTAACTGTTTAAATTACTGAAGACCACTGCATATTCCAAGTTGCATTTGTTTATTCCATATGTGTACTTCCGGAGTGATTTAGGCTAGAGCACCAAAGAGATATTTAGGATTGATGATCAAGCAGTTCACCATAATATTTTGCCATAGCAGTGTAAATTTCTTTAATAATTAGTTTCTCTTTTCTGGTACTTGTGTGTTTATAGCGATTTTTTTCATGATTTTTTCTTTTAACCATGAAAACAACGGTAAAACCTACCTTCTGTCAAAAAAGGAGGATATATTTCATTCAGGAGAACTTGCACGTTTTTTATTTAAGTACTGGTGAATAGTTACAGCACAATGTAGTTTAGGAAGGAGGATTTCTTGTGAAATGTTAATTGTGATATAGTACATAGTCATTATAATGGTCTTGTGTCTTCTGGAACGGAGCAGATTCTAGGCTGGCCAGTTGAGATAAAGCAAGTGTAGGGGTTTGAGCCTTGATCTCTTCTGTCCATGTAGAGTTTTGCTGTTTCTCCTTGTCTCTCTTTGTCCCTGCACTTACAGGAAGAGCTTTGCTTACAAAAATGATTGCAAATATTAAAATAAAAATGTTAAATTCATTGGAAGAATAAGATATTTCTCTGCTAAACTTGTATTTTAAATAGATGCAATTTAAATAGGTGCAGTTATGGAGTCATCACTTTTTCTTGCCCCACCTTGCCCTATTTCTCCTGTGGTTGTTTTGATGCTGCTTTTAGTTTCAAATGTTTCATCATCTTGGACTTCCTGTTGGAGTTCACACCACTTTGATTCCATTCACTTTTAACACTGGCAGAAAAAAACATGGTTTGAGTATCTGTTTTGTCTCAATACTTGTGTAGACTGCTGCTTTGAATAAACAGACTGGCATTTTGTTTTACTTACTTTTAATCACTTCTTGCACTGTTTTTTCAACCTTAATTCAAGCCTGTTTCTACATCCCATCTGTAATAAGCATCTGCTGTGTTAATAACCCTGCTCTCTTAGCTGTATATAAACCAGTGGTTGGTTTGTTTGACTGTATGCGTTAACGCTGCTCTGTGTTGATACTTGTTTTGCAATTAGAAGTGCACATAATCTTTCATTCTCCTACATATTCTTTTCTCTAAAGGTTATGGTTTTGACACCTCAGTCTTTGGAGGCTTTGATAGAGGCCTCATTGTGCCTGAAATATGAATTACTGACAGAGGAGGCAGGCAGCTGAGTATCTTCTGTGTTAGACGTAACAAGGTGCTCTTCAGCTCAAGGTTGTGATGTAGAGGAAATAACATTTCTACTTATTAGCCTGCTGGTAGTCATGAAATGGGTCATAACACGATTTGAGAAGAACTTTGTCTCACAGCTTAGAACATTTATAGCGGTGTAAATCAGCAGGATAACTCAGACTTTTGTCTCCAGCTCTACCATAATAGAGAATTTTCCATGTTTGTTTTCAAAATGGAAGTGGGTGGTTGGCTAGTCTGTGAACGTATAGTAATAGTTGTACCACTGCCCTGCGTTTCTTCCTGGTGCTGTAGATTCCAGATTGCTCAAATTGGTTGTTAACTCTTGGAACCTCTTTTGAGATGCATGATTTTCGTTGCATAATCCACTAAAGTGTACTGGATGATAACAGGAACTTGTTTACATTATGCACAGCAAAAGAGGTAGTTTTAAACAAGAACAACACGATGACTTGAAAATTCAGCAGTGTGGTTTCACAGATGTCATGAAAGCAAAAGTTAAATTCCCAGTGCATTGTGGTATTAAAAAAGGAGATGTCTTTGATGAGGCTGTACTAGGAGCACAGTAAGTTGCTAGAAACGTATGTAGTCTCCACGTTGCCACTGCTTTGTTGTCTTCCCAATGGTAGTTCCATTATCCCATAAATTTGTTTTAAAAATAATAATATATTTTAAAAGATTAATTTTTCTGTAGGACCTCAATAGATGGTGTGGTTGGCTCAAGGAGCTGCTATCTTTGTGATAGTTCCACTCTCTAATAGTTGGAACTAATTCTGAAGCATTCAGCTAGGCTGATCACTGTTGTTTTTTAATTATAAATAGTAATGATTCTTAAGAAATATTAATATTCCATGTACAGTTCTTAATACCTCTTTTCTGCTGTCTGCTCTGAGACCTAATGGACTAATGAGTACTTCAGCTTGCAGCTGTAAGATCTTAAGTTCAGTTGTACATATCTGCCTGTATGTCAGGGCCAGGTTGGATGAGGCTTTGGGCAACCTGGTGTAGTGGAGGGTTTCCCTGCCCATGGCAGGGGGATTGGAACTAGATGATCTTTGAGGTCCTCTCCAACCCGAACCATTCTGTGGTTAATGATGCCCATCTCTGGGCTACTAAGCAGAAGAAACAGGATGTTGGCTGAGCTGCTCGTTCTGAACTACAAACAGTTACAATCAAAATAGCAGCTGAGTTGCCCATAGGTGCAGATGATTTTCAAAGACAATCTATCCTAATATTTAATTAGCTTCATTACTGCTGTGGTAAAGGAGTAGTTCTTCTTTCTGTCTTGAAATGAACATTTACAGTCCTTGTGGAAAAACTCCCATGTGTGTATATGGCACACTGTACTAACAGTTACTATAAAATGCTACAAATTTGTTTAGAAAATGGTATAGCACACTACTTCAAAACTTTTTATACTATGCGTTAACAATATTTTTTGCTTCTTGTGTGTCTTCACTGAGCCTTAACGATATGTCTTTACCGTCTGTTATGGATATTGCATACTAGTTTTTACTAGTTCCAGAAGTTTCTGCAATATCCCTCCAGGATACCCTGGGAGAAGAAAGCTTCTCATGGTTATGTTCTTGAGGAGGTTGTTTTGGTTTGCTGTTTGTTTTGGTTTTGTTTGTTTGGTGTTTTTTTGGTGAAAAGTTCAGAAGAACAGTGTCTGTATAGGATGTAGATAAAGCAGTTGATTTTTCCAAAAGGGGTTTAGTCTTCAGGCATGTCAGATAATGTTGTCTAAGTCTGGCTATTATGTTAGCAGCCATAATAAGATATTTCAATAACAAAGTAAGTTCTGTTTCTTCTCTTGAGAGATCAGTTTCAGTAAATATGCAGGCACAACAGCTTTACCAAGAAAGTACAAAACTGGTTTCGTATTTGAGAAGTAGTGCAGACACTGCGAAGTCAAAGTCATTATGCAGTGTTGCCAGGGACCTTGCTTATTCTCACTGGGGTTAGATAGATTGAGACAAATGCAGGATTCTTCAAGACAGAAGACTTAATTTGACAAAAAGGGAGAATTTTTCCTCGACTAACTGTAGATGAGTGTTAGAATGCATCATCATTGCACTGCTCTATTGAATACTGATGAATGGATCTCATTGATGTTTTCAGCTGCAATTTGAAGCTCCAACCCAACAGAACAGCCTTTTAAAAAGATTTTTCAATGCTAGTGCACAGGCGGCTTTCAGATTTGCATTGGAGGATTGATTTAAAACTACATATTAGCCTTTTAAGTCAGGACTGTATGGTTTGCACTAAAGTGACAGTGCAGAGATTTAATCCATACTGCTTGCAGTTTGGGGTCATTTATGTGTAATTCTCTGCTATCTAACTGTGAATTATCTTCCTGTATAGATGCATATAATTACTTACATTTAATTGCATACTGCAGTTTTGTTGAATTTCTTCTACTTCAGTATGAGAAGTTTGAAATATCTTTTTAGGCCTTAAATTCTAAACAGTTCTAGGCAAATGCTAAATATCAAATAGGAGATGATGTAGCTTCTGAATTTTTTGCGGTTCCCCTCTATGGTGATCTATGAAGTTGCAGCTTTACTAAGCAAGAGATGTGTTTTTCATCACATGGAAGTTTTTAGCATCGTTAGCTATTCTTAAAATTAAAGTTAGCTGCTGCTTCAGTGTTAAATAGTTATGAGCATCTTAACTAAAATACGTAAACCCCTGGATATCTGCCTTCTTTCAGCTGCTTCTCCTGTGAATCCGAAGTAGCAAGGTCACTCTTGTTCCATTGAGCTTGACTTATCAGCGTTTCAGTGGCCTCTTTCATTTGAGGTTAAAACCGAGGGATGTGCTTGAGATAAGGAGTTTGTGCCACAGCTGAGAAACAAAAGCAAAAAGTGCTTATCTGGGAGCATGCCAATTCCACAGCATCCTTTTCTTCCCGCTGAGCGGTGTGGCTGGCGCTTCGTACCTGCTCAGGCCCAGTGAATACACTGCTTTTATCTGGATTATGATTATGCTTGTGAGGCAGGAGTTTTTGCTCTGTTGCTTCATTCTTTAAGCTGTCTTCCTGGTAGAATCCCAGTTAATAAATGTCCAAATGCCTCCTTGCTCTTTCTGGGTATAAAATTTTGCGTGTACCCATTCTATGGAAGATTGCAGTTAGGACTTTAATTAAGCATTTATTCTTTTTTTTTTTTCTATGAACTAACATTTGAAATTCTACAAAAAAAAAAGATATGCTTTTAGATATTTCACTGAAGTGCAGTCCATGTGATCCAGAGCTGACTAGATTTCAATCCAAGGTGTGTGGTCAAAACGACAATGGTTAGAAGTAGCCGGGTTTTTGCCATGGTAGTTTATATTCAGGGTGTTTAACATTAGGCTCCAGTCAGTAACTGGCTCATCCATCCCTGATGCTGGATCTTGCTTCATAATGTAGAACAGCAGGAAGGGAAAGCAATACTGGGGGGTTTTTAGTTAATTTCTGCCTCACTTCTCAAGAAAAAAGTGCTTTTGGAGAAAACAAAAACCAGTTAAATTAGGCTTAATGCAGTTACCAGTAGATGGTGCCACTGATACTGCAATCTCTCCACTTCTGAACGTGAATTTTTGCCTCCCCTCTGATAGAGGGAAGGGATTCCATCTCTGATTGCCAGTTGCACAGTAATTGACCCAAGGCTTTTCCTTATTATATTTCACCTGTTTAGAAATATCCAGTCTTAGTATTCTTCCTCATGAAGAAACCTTTTGTGTTCTGCGAGGGAATAACGACAATGCACTCTGAGACTTTAATTTTCCCCCAGGTATGTTCAGTTTACAGAGATGAAATTATTAGCTCTCAGCAGGCAGATACTTGTTCAGACCAGAAGAAAACCTTCTACTATTTGTCTTAAAAGAGATGCCATGCAGAAATCACCTCGGTTAAAACAGACCCCCTCATTCAGCCAAAGTCCTTTTTAGTTTAGCTTGTGTGTGAAGCAATGAGACTTTCTCTTCCCTGAAAGTTAATGGCTAAAGGCTTAATAACATCGTAGTAATGTGCTGTGGGTAGTCATCCTTGACTGGATGTTCCAACGAGCTTGAAAAACATCACTACTGCTTCAGTTATTGATTAACAAGAGCAAATTACACCTGTTAAATAGGTAACTGGGGTACCTGCAGTTTCACCAGGAGTTTTATGTATTATCAGGAGGCTACTTAGCTATGCCTCTTTCAGGTAGTATAGTCTGATACTTCTAGTCCACAAATTAAATACATAATTATTCCTCTTTTTCTGTGAGGGGATATTAAAGATCTTGGAAATGTGCTCTAGTGACATAGCAGTAGAAAGGAAAGGGCAGGCAGTCGTGCATGCTTTATTTTGGTGGTTTTGTCTTGATGTGCTTCCAGTTTTACTTTGTGCCAGGGCAAGCTCTATGTATTGAATGTGCTTTTATGTTTTATTCAACAGCATCTTTTTTTTTTTCATTTCTTGTTTTCTTTTTCTTTTTTTTTCTTTTTCCCTAGCAGTAGAGAAAACCTTAATCCCTCATAAACTCAAGAGTGCAGTTATTTCTCTGCATTTAAAAGTGATACATGCACATTTATGCAAAGCAGCTGTGTTACATTCTGTGTCCTGTTACACAAAGCCACAAACCAGGTTTAGGGACATTTATCCCATTGTCACAACTAGATAGATAGAGTCTTTGGAAAGAAACAAAGTACAAACTAAGGAAAACACAAATTGACCTCTAAAATTCCCTAAGGGAAACACGTGATACTATGAAACGGATATGAAGGAATGTAATCAAGGAAAGAGAAAAGAAAATAAGGAAAATTCTTAGAAAATTTTGATATATTACCATTTGTGGGAGCACTAGCTTAGCTTTAGGAAATGGGTTGCCATGTTGCATCTGCTGAGCATCGTTTTATGTAATAACACTGCTGCGTTCATTTAGAAGTTCACTGCCTTAAAAATAAAGATGTTCTTACCTTCCTGGTTATTTCTGCTGCTACTCAGAAAAAAAAAGCGCACTAACAAATGGAGTTGTCTGTAAGGATTTATTTTGCGTTTTGAGAGGGGTCTGAACTTTTCTTGTATCTGGTAATTTTTTGAAGATTGTATTCCGTACTTAAGATGGTGTTTAGCATTTCACCTAAGGCAGTAGTTTTGAAAGGAAATTAACTTTGAAGGATTCCAATGGGATGTGGTAGCATACCTTTTTGTATTGTTACTTTTAAATGATCCTGTGTTCTGCAGTGTGAGCCCGTAAGATTGCACGTGTGTAGTTCTGTCACGATGTGCACATTCATTCTTTTCACAAGCAAAATGGTGCCCATACTTGTAGGCATAAATACATTTTTGTCTATAACACAAATTAATAGTCTGTTTGATGATCTGCTTTGTTTGCAGGTTGGATTTGCTACCGTTCTATGCAAGGCTGGTTGCCACGTTGCATCCCTGTATGTCTGATGTGGCAGAGGATCTTTGTTCAATGCTGAAAGGGGATTTCAGATTTCATGTATGTTTTGTTGGTTTAGTTTTATGCCTTCCAATTAACCCATCTGATAATTGTCATCTTTTGGGGGAAAAAATAATACTTGATGTATCATGTAGATGCTAATTCCAAGATTTAATGACTCAATTTAGAATATTTTTCTGTTGTTTGAGCAGATTTGTTCTAGAATGCTAGATTTGTATGTTTAATTTTTTTTTTGCATATATATACAGACATACATCGTAAGTTGTATTGTTGGTAGTGTCATCCTTAATTTCCAGTGCTAAACAGTGGTTAAAGTGAACTGTATAACAGGTACAACAATAGTTGCAAGAATTAGAAACTATGCTCCAACTGTGAGTGTTAAGAGTTTTCTGTTAATTAATAACTTACATTTAAAATAAGAACTGACCTAGTCTAACAGCAGAGCCCTACTACAGGGTTACTGTTGTAATATAGTCGTCACTGTTGTAATGTAGCACTTAATTCTAAGAAATTATTTTTTACAATTTTCATCAACCAAAATTTTCTGTGCCTCACAAATGCATTTTTCAAGGTTATTTGTCTCCCCTTTTTTGTATGTTTTTTAATAGAATTGGTTATGGTGCACAGCGATGACTCCTTCACTGTTTTCTGAATTTTATGGCACAGGTTTCAAAATTGCTTTATTCTAATATTGACAGTAAAAATGTGTTCGGATTACTCAGGCTTACTTAAGTCTTAACTTTTTCTGACAACAGTTAACTTCAGATAGTTATTTCTGTTGTGGAAAAATACAATTTGGTGTTTTGCTGAACATGATGACATTTAGAAATAGAGATAAACTTGTACTTTCTCAGTAAAGTTACGCTGAATGTTAGTGATTTTAAAAGAAAAAAGAGAAGAAAAAAGTCTGCACTTTATTAAACCTGATTTGAAAAAGCTGTCAATATTTAGTATTTCCTTGGGTACTATACCAGTGGTCCTATTCGTATGGAAACTACTTGTTGGTTCTAAAAACGTAGAATCTAAAATTCTTAACCACTACTTCAACATAGCAAAACGGAGGTGGCCAGGTTATAGCTGTAGATATATTAGAGGACTTAAGTATTTTGTAGGGGCAAGGGGAAGAAACTCAAAAGCTTCCGAAGAAACAAGGTTGTAGAGAGACTTTTAGGAAACCCAGTGACAGGTAAACATAGAGCGTAAGGAACCAAACCAGTATCAAACACTTCTGAATTTCCAAGCTTATTAAGCTTGTTTAGGTGAAAGTAGTTTATGAGAGGCGTATTTTCGAGAGTCTAGCAACAAATGCTTTTTTCTTTTTCAGGTAAGAAAAAAGGACCAGATCAACATTGAAACAAAGAATAAAACTGTGAGGTTTATTGGTGAGCTTACCAAGTTTAAGATGTTTTCCAAAAACGATACTCTCCACTGTTTAAAGGTTAGTGTTCTGATAGTCCTGTACCGCTGTATATACTGATAATGTATCCCCATCCTATTCCCCTTCATATATGTATTGCTAATGTGATCCATTAATTCACTGCATATGATATTTTGAACTCTGGTGTCTGTTGCTGCGGAGCGTGAGGAAGCTTTTATACCTACTCTAGAAGCTAGAGTGTTTTAGTTTTGTGATGGTAAGAATATAATAAAATAAACGTCCACCTTTGGACATAACGAAATTGCTAATAATTTTCTTTATAAAGCGATGTTAGACATTGCTACTTGTTCATCTGCTGTATATATACACCTCAAAACTGGAAGTGAGCTTTTCATTACATTGATTTCAATTACTGTTTTTACAGAGAAAATAACAGTGAGGGAGAGGAGTTAGAGGCAGAAAGCTTTTCAGTGATGCAAGGAGAGGCTTATATGCCATCTTAGTGGGTGCTTTTGTTTGAGGAACAAAATAAATCTTTGGAAAGCATTAATCTCTAGGCATGTCATATGAATTTGCATGCTGATAAACATTCAAACTTGTCTTTGATGTAAAGTCTCAAATTAAAAATGGGTTTTAAAAAATAGAAGTGCCTTCTATAAAAGGTGGTTGAAGACTCACATGGGTTAAGATCACTTCCTCTAGGAATAGTTCTTCTTTATTGACTCATTACGTATTGAAGCTGAATTCTTAAAAAATTACCCTCACTCATTATTTTTCTTCTCTCAGCCATAAAATACTGTAAAATGCAAAGATTTGCACTTTTTTCTTAAAGAATATGGAACACCACAATAGTGAAAAGTTTAGTAGATGTAACTTACTGTTTTCTACAGTTGAAAAAGATGTTTAACGTGCTGTGTTTTTACATAAATATATATCAGATGCTTCTGTCAGACTTTTCTCATCACCATATTGAAATGGCATGTACTCTGCTGGAAACCTGTGGAAGATTCCTCTTCAGATCACCAGAGTCTCACTTAAGAACCAGTGTTCTTTTGGTAAGAGAAAACTCATCTTATGGGGGAGGGTGTGATGTACTGAATTAAACCAATTGCTACTTTTATTTTCTGGCTTTGTGATGTTGTCTGACCATAACGGTGATTGTGACCAATACCTTAATTGTCAGTTACAGTGTTTAAGCACTAGTGAGTTAAAACTTTCATTAAATTTTATCTCAAATGCACAGGGAGGGTAACGTTGTTTTGGGTTTGTTTTTTTTTTTTTTTAGTAAAAACAGAGACAAGTATGAGAGGAGAATGAATCAGTTTTTCTGAAATCTTGCCTCCTCGTTGTGGAATGGGGTTGAGATGGACTGGTGTTACTATTTTCAAATCCTAGGCTGTTTTGGCACTATCAGCCATTGTTTGTAGTCCTGTGGGCTTGTATCTTCTTGTTATTTGTAGCTTGTCTGGTGTTGTCTCAGCTCTGAGATTGCACCTCCTGTGAGAAGAGTCTTCTGAGAGTATTCTGGAGAACTCCAGTTGACCTATATATCTGTTTATGACTTAAATGCAAATAAAGAATTAAATTTTTGAAGCACAAAGTTATTGCTTTTGAACTACAAATAATTCAGAGATAGGGCAAAAACAGAGGATGAGGTTCAAAGAATATAGTTGCTGTGCCCGAACATGCCTCATATACTACTTGAGGGGGAGAAATGGTAGTGACTAGAACTAGAGATGATAAGGTATTTCAATTGGAGGTGAAAACAATTGTGAAAGAGGTGGGTTTTGTGCCCTGCATGACGATCTGGCGTTCTAAATTCGAAGAACAAGTTTATGAAGAAACTAGAGGAAGGAGCTTTAGAAATAGAGATTGGTAATTAGGATAAGAGTAGAAGTGTGGTATCTGGAAGTCCAGATAAGTACTGGCAAAGATTTGAAAATAGCAAGGATTAGCTTTGGATCTTTTTTAATGTATGAATTTGAGCCCTGAATAATGTTTCCTGACTTGAGAGATGATCCTAAAAAGTCTGTGTCAAGGCAAGAAACTGAGTCAAACATGATTGTGTGCCCTTGGAGCACTTCTTCACTAGCAGTAGGAAATGGCGTTAAATTGGAAGCAGCTTGAGCAGGTACAGACTGACTGACAGACCATGTTGTTGTGTTTGAATCATAGAATCATAGAATGGCATAGGCTGGAAGGGATCTCAGAGATCATCTAATCCAACCTCCTGGTCATGGGCAGGGACGCCTCTCAACTAGATCAGGCTACTCAAGGCTCTGTCCAACCTGGCCTTGAACACCTCCGGAGAGGGGGCATCCACAACCTCTCTGGGCAATTTATTCCAAAGTCTTACCACCCTCGTGCTGAAGAAAGACTAGATTGAAGTCTGACTAGATGTTTGAGTGTTCCCCTCAAATCCCTGCGCTGCAGGCAGAAGTCGTGTATCTGCAGTACAGAAGAGTAGTTGCGTTTGAGGGGGGAAGTGGACGTTGTTTGGAAGAGAGCCATTAAAGTGTTTGGAATCTCTTTCTGGAGACTCAGCTTTTAAGCTATGAAATATCCCTATCTTTTCTGTGTTTATCTCCTTTCTTATCAAAGCACAGGCTTACACTTGACAGGCCTTTCTCTTGAATCCATAGCCTCCTTCCTTATTCTACAGAGTTAATGGAGAAACAGTTGTTGCATACCTGGTATGTTGTACAGTTTCTTTTCCACAAAACGCTGTTTCTTTCTGAACTACTCTGAATGTCTTAGCGTTTGTTTTGGTGGTGCAGTCAGAGGAAAGAGAGAGACAAATTAACTGCAAGTTCTTGCCTCGTACTTTTTGTTGCAGAGCACTTTGTATCTTGAAAGGTTTGAATATCTGAGCTTTCTAAAGATTTGCCAGATGATGTGTTTTGTTGTTTAATATGTTCCTTTCCATTATTGAGTATTTTTCCCCTGAAAATGCTGTTCCATACTTTAAAAGATGCTTTACTTACTGCTACCAATTTTTTGGCAGTTAATAATTTTGGAAGTCAGGAAAAATTAAATACCTTTACCAGAGCTACTTTTCCTAGCTGACTGGTTTAAGTCTCATGCACTACAAAAATGCTGCTTATTAGCTATATTGCTGAAATCTGCGTGAATGCTAAACATGACTTAACTGTGAAGTGTAAGACAAACCACAAATGTTGTTTCAATAACCGAGGCGTAAAGGTTTCAGATAAGTAGTCTTTTCTTATGCATTGAGGAACCAGGAGAAGATGGAGGTGGAATGTAAGTACAGAATATCTAATGATTAAGATGTAAAATAGGCTAAATAGATTTATATCCTACAGTCATCTTAATAGCTGCGTCTTCTAATGTTGCCCTGTAGAAACTGTGGAGATTAATTTTCACTTAAATAGTATTCTGCAAATTGGATCATAGTCTTACAGTATCAGTTAGTGTGAACTGTAGAAAAGATTATTCCCAAAGCAAGCTAATTGGGATCTAATGGTAAAAATGTAAGTAAATGTAAAGCTGATCTTATCAATGACTCTTATGGGTAGAATTAAGACCTGTTGATCTTCCAAATAATTATGGGTCTCAATCTTTAGTGCTGGCAATATATTATGTAATGCAACGCCAAACAGGCTGTATATCTCCTATTAAAGACTCTATTGCTTTGTGCTGGTGTGGAAGAAAGTCATAGTTAAGAATGGATTTTAAAAGTAATTAAAGGAAAATTAATAAGTAGAGCATTCTGTAAGAGTGCCACAAACTTATAGACTTATTCTAGAGAAACATTTAATGATCACATTCTGGTTTTGTGGAACTACTGTCATGTTTTGCAAATTTATTTAAAGGTCCTTCTTTTATCAGGGCAATGACTTTCTGTTAATCGTTCTTCTTGGCAAGTCTTTTAAATTCAATGTTCTTTATATAATTTAAAATATTAATGTAAAACTAGCTTGGCTGTAAGATTGGTCTGATAAATGGGTTATTTGAATTGGATTATTTGAATTGGCGCTCTGGAAGGAAGATCAGCATTATCTTGATCTATGTTTCTGTAAAGTAATCATGTTAAAATATCAAATTCTTGTATTATGGTGTTGTGGTCTTGTTAAAAGAATATTTGAAGTTTTGGTATTAAAAGCCTTCTAATGCATTTTTAATCCTTTTACCTCAGACAATTATATCAAATTGTCTTTTTAAGCTTTAAGGCAAGATTACTTTTATTTATAAACATATATAACTTAAGCTACACAGTGACTCCTTTTATAGATGGAGCCGAAACTATGGGAGAACATTGTTTGTACAGAAAGAGACTGTGACAAAATAATTACTCGTAGTTGGAATTAGATTGTGTTTATTCACTGTAACAATAGTATGCTTCCAAGAAATTTAAAATTTTAGTTTTGAACTGTTGGAACAAGTAGAAGGGCAGAAAAGCGTAGGTAGTAAAGGGAAGGAGACACTGAACAGTTTCAGTGTCTTATTACAACCTGATAATTTAACTGTCAGTCATTCTGAAATGCTTCTCTGAATTGGGCTTTTTCTGCCCGTTAGGTTTTACATGGTGACTATACTCTTAATTTTTTGTGCTGCTTTGCAGAAACCGATTCTATTTCTCAGAATGCAAATTGGTGTTACCAGTTTTTGGAATTGAGGTAGGCAGGAGCAAGACTGTTAACTGTAAGAGCACCTCCTGATTCTCACCAGATTTTCTTTTGGAATGGATTTGCAGTATATGCTGTGTGCAGAGAGGTTTTGTTACTCACCAAGAAAAAAACCCAACCTTTTATTATTTCAGCTTGGGCATTTTAATGTTGGTTGTGATCTCCCTTTATCAAAGGGAAAACAGAAGCCTAGTCTTCAAATGCAGTGCTTTACCTTTGTAGTTTTTCATTTTAGCCTAGTAAAACAAAGACCTAGTAGTTAATTAGCTTCAAGTGCTTTACACTTACAGGTCTTGCTTTTCTTCTGAAATGTGTCAAGGTTTTTGGTATTGTAGGCAGTGTGTTGTTATGGTTTCTCTTTCCTGCCTTGCCATCTGACTTGATGCCTTAAATGAGAAAAGGTTGAAACACACATAGTTGTGTAAAATGGTGATGACTTTTAATAGAGATTAAGACTAATACCATCCACATAAAGCTAGAATACGTGCTTGGGATTGCTCAAAAAATGATAAATTACAGTGATTTTTGAGACTTGGGGTAGTGCATATTGTCTTTTCTGGGAAGAAACATTTTAATTATAACCTATTATTTACAGAATAATGTGCAACTTTTTATAACAGAAAAATACACTAATTATGTAGTTTTAGCATTTTTTAAATTTTGCTTGCAAGCCCTTATACCATTTTCTCTGTTATTTTTTACTTTGCCCTACTTTGTTTCCAGTTCATAGTAAAACATGATAAATATCATTAAGACAGCAAAGATATATTTTTCTCCTGATGCATCTAGAAAAGGTGAACAATTTACAAAGCTATATGTGTCACGGTAATAAATAAAAAGATACTACGTGACATGGTAAGGTTTTGGAACTTTCTACTGTAAGTGGTTTTTCCCCACATAAAACAATTGATGTACTCAATTGTTGAAAGTGCTGTGTGTCTTTTAAGCATCTGTAGGTAGATTTGCTGCTACTTTACAGCAATTTCCCATTTGGAAAGGAACAGTCTTAGTTAGGGAATCAAAGGGGAGGCCATTTGTGTCATGGAAAAGGTTAAAAATGAAATGCCTTAGGGTTGGTGTCGGATTGATACCTCCCGGCAATGGACGTATGCAATCTAGGAGGAAAATTATGTTATTTGTTGGGTTACTGTGTTACAGAATTGAACTAGCTCAAGGTTAAGGAGCTGTTTGAGTATGTTTGTTTCAGTTGAACGGAAACCACCATTTTCTTCTCCTGTTGAACCACTTTAGAATGATTTACTGAAAGAGGGGAGATTTAGATTAGATATAAGGAAGAAATTTTTCACTCAGAGAGTGGTGAGGCAGTGGAACAGGTTGCCCAGAGAAGTTGTAGATGCCCCATCCCTGGAAGTGTTCAAGGCCAGGTTGGATGAGGCTTTGGGCAACCTGGTGTAGTGGAGGGTGTCCCTGCCCATGGCAGTGGGGTTGGAACTGGATGATCTTTGAGGTCCCTTCCAACCCAAACCGTTCTATGATTTAGAATGTATGGGATCACAAGATTTACATGCATCTTCTAGAATTACACATCTATATTCATATAAACACACAGATGCATATTAAAAAATGTTTTGTATTGGAATTAAGCTCATCCTCATATTTAACTGTAAAAATCAGCAGCTTAGAACTACTACTTTTGTTCTTGTACAGAATTTTTAGATCCAAGAAATTTTCAAAAGCAAGAAAATAAATCTTTCTTGTACTTCTTATGAAGTACATATCCAAAATTAGGTATGTAAAAAAGATTGTATTCAATGAGGAAAATTAGGACAATCCTGAATATTAAGCACAGTGATTAATGTTGATGTAGTAACCTTTAAATTGTCTGATTTTTCCTAAATATGCTTTTATGGTAGGTGCTGTTTTCCTTGTAGTCTATTCTGCTTGGGGAAACAGCAACAATGGAGAAATGTAGTAAGAAGAATGTCATTGCCTAAACTGTTGAAAATTGATGTGAAACCATCAATATAAACTTTCTGGGGTGGCTAATAATCTTATTAATCATTTATCTAAACAGTAACATTTAGATTTCAAGTTAAACTTTAAATACTTCCCTGAAACTTTCTTTACCACAGGTAAACCATTATAAAAATAGGGATTATCAAGAAAAATTACCTTGGAAATAGCAACACAGAACCATCTATATGCTTTGTCCTTTCTTGTCTCTACCCAAGCTTTTAACTTCCTTTTCTACTACCTTCCATGTTTCCTTTGTCTTAAACTTTACTGTAAATGCCTTTGGCTTGAGAATGTAGTATGTCAACATCTTTAACTGATTTTTTGCATTTATTTCCAGGAACAAATGATGAGAAAAAAACAAGCAATGCATCTAGATGCACGCTATGTTACAATGGTAGAAAATGCCTATTACTACTGTAATCCTCCTCCAGCTGAAAAAACTGTGAAGAAAAAACGTCCTCCTTTGCAGGAATATATTCGTAAACTTCTTTACAAGGATCTCTCCAAGGTCACCACAGAGAAAGTAAATGCTTTTGAAATCTTTGTTACAGATTTTACTGGAAGTGATGTAGTGTTAACTTTCAAAGGGCTTGGGGAGGTTTGTTTTGGTTTTTTTTTTAATTGCAAGGAAGAGGGATTGTTTTTGTATGTCTGATTGTTAAGGTAGTTTCATTTCTTTTATTGTAATGCATGGAAGCTCCCGACCTGCATTCCTCACAGTCATTAAGTGCTGAACAAATAGAGAATGAAATTAAGAACCTTTGTACTAAATATTTTACATTCAGAGTAAAAGGCTGCAGTTAAATACAGACTTTGAGGAAGGAAATGATGGAACAGATTTGGACAGCTTTATTAGTAGTTACAGGACAGCAGTTGGGTTGCATCTATGAAGTTTTCTGTGTATACTGCAGATCTGGAGGATGCTTGAAAAAGAGAGTGAGGTGGCTTGCAGATGCTTCAGGGATTTCATCCCAACTGCGAGAGAGAGGAAATGGAATGACAGTGAAAACCTTGCTATTTTGCCTACTAAAATGTTAAGCTTGTCTTAAAACTTGGTTTAGGTCCTGAGACAGATGCGCAAGCTGCCTTGGCAGGATGCAGAAGTAAAAGACTATGTTATATGCTGTATGATCAACATCTGGAATGTGAAATATAATAGTATTCACTGTGTAGCCAACCTCTTAGCAGGGTTGGTCCTTTACCAGGAAGATGTTGGAATCCATGTTGTGGATGGAGTGCTAGAGGATATTCGACTAGCAATGGAGGTAAACAACCAACATTTTTATTAAGCCATGCTCATTTACTTCTGTTGAAAGGAAAACAATAAAATAGTCGTGCTTAAAGAAAAGAATCCTTAGAGTCTGGATTTTCGTCTGATGACTTTTCTACCCATCTCAGTTGTTTGCTTTGTGTAGATTTATTTAAATTTAACCCCCCCCCCCCCCCCAAAAAAAAAAAAACCCAAACAACTGCAAAGATCACTAGGACAGTTATTTTGTCCCCATTATTATAGTAAGGCGATATGATTTATTCTTGTAGTCAGATTCATGCAACTTCAGGAAACTTTGGAGACTAGTCCATATTTTTATAGGGGTTATAGTTACAGGAATTCTCCGGGCAATGAAGTCATCATAGATTTAAGGTACAACATGTTAAATGTATCTGAACTTTATAATAACTACTAGTTGACCAGCTTTCATAAATACCTTCAGCACTTTTTAATGTTTAATTTTGCATAATGTATGTAGCCATAAATAACCATTTTTATTGTAATGAATTACATCAATTTAAAATTAAATAAAAACTCAAAAAAACCCACGAGCTTTTACAAAGATTCTATTTCATCTGCATGATGAAGTGATTTGTTGTTGTTGTTGGGTTTTGATACAGGTTAACCAACCAAAGTTTAACCAGCGACGGATCAGCAGTGCCAAGTTTTTGGGGGAGCTTTACAATTATCGAATGGTGGAATCAGCGGTAATATTTCGAACTCTTTATTCTTTCACATCGTTTGGTGTGAACCCTGATGGTAGTCCTAGTCCACTGGATCCTCCAGAGCATCTCTTCAGAATCCGACTAGTCTGTACAATCCTCGATACCTGTGGGCAATATTTTGACAGAGGATCCAGCAAACGAAAACTTGATTGCTTCCTTGTATATTTTCAGGTATTCTAAACTAAATTTTATGTATTTCTGTAGATTTCTTTAACAAATTAATGTAGGTGAGTGTTACATATTTTTCTCATTGATCTCTAGCACTATAATTTTTAGAATTGTGTCTGATAGCAGTTTTGTTTTAAAGTGACATATGTGGTCAGTTATGTGGTTGTTACTGTTCCAAGAAACTTGCAGAACACTGGAGGAGCAGTCAATTAGCTGCAGGGTGAGTTAAGAAGAATTTAATAAAAATATAAAATTAATAATATAATATTAATGTATATTAATATATATATAATGATAATATATACAAACAAGTGATGCACAGTATAATTGCTCACCACTTGGTGACCAACACCTGTCCCGTCCCAGCAAGTGATCCCAAAACAGCTAAGTCCTGACACTGCAATCCTGGACAAATGAGAGGCCCAGAAAGAAAGTGACAGGGGGTGGGGGAGAGAGAGAGAACACTCCAAGAAACCAAGAGTCTGAGACCACCCTCAGAAGAGAATTTCCCAACTTCCCAGTCAACCCTCATCTCTATACTGGGCATGACGTTGCATGGTATGGAATACTCCTTTGCTGGTTTGACCCTCAATTCTAAGTTCAAAAGGTAAGGGGAGTTGTGGGTCCTTTGTCCTGGCTACTCTCCACCCCAGCCTGTTGTGCTCCTGCACACTGGCAAAAACACAAAGCTAAAAAGTCCTTGAAGTCTCAGTGCCAACTACAAATGTCAGTGCGCTGTCAACATTCTTCTCATAACAAATCCCATGCTACATCCAAAACACAGAGCTGTTCTAGCTGCTAAAAAGAAAAACTAACTCTGTCCCAGTCGAAACCAGGACATCACCTTTTAAATAAACATTCTATTACTCATACTTCATTTTCAGATGCAATTTTTGCAACACCTTTGTTCTCAGATTCTACTGTTAGGTTCACTTAAGATCAGTGTTTAGTTTTTACAGTTTGTAATGTGTGTGGGCATGTGCTGTTTTGTTATAAAGCAAACTGGAGAAGTCGCTTCATGCTAGCTGCAGTCTCAAAACTTTTTATGGTATTTCCCCTTTCTCCCTATTAGGTGCCTTTGGGAGAATTAATTTTCTCGAAAACATATGGAGGGAGAAATAGAAAGCTGACCAATTGTTAAGTGCTCGTCTCTCACAGAAAGAATCTACCCTTAGAAAGCACTTTCTTTTCAGGGCTTTTTTGCTCAGTCTTCGTATTTCTAGCAGTCGTTAACGACAAAAGGAGCATATTCTTAATGTTTGTGATATCCATTGTTGTCAAATATCTTTAGTGATATCATAATATCTAATAGTGATGTGAAATAAGAGTAGAGATGCAAAATCTTGCATTTTCTACTGTACAAACACAACTAGGTATTACAAAAGTTAAGTAGTTTATAAATGCCAGTGTGCATATAATTTATTTGAATATTTTGTATTCTAGCGGTATGTTTGGTGGAAAAAAAGTCTGGATGTTTGGACAAAAGACCACCCATTTCCTATAGACATAGACTATATGATCAGTGATACACTGGAACTGCTGAGACCAAAGATAAAGCTCTGCAGTTCTCTGGAAGAAGCTATCAGACAGGTGCAAGACTTGGAACGAGAATTCTTAATAAAATTAGGTAAGAAAATGAGCACGGGAAATGAGGTCGTCTTTACACTTCCTGTATTTCTTAAAATTTTTTCTTGTATGGTGATGATACGTAACCATTGTTATTCTTATGATGTCATCTTTTTATGCTCATGATAGAAATATTTTTGTAACTTCTTTGCATTTTTCTGATCACCATAGACATCATACAGAATCTTCATAACTCTAAAGTGACAGTGTTTAAAAAAAGTCAATATGAATACTATTAACGTAGCAGCGTAAGAGAGAACGTGTTTTGCTTTAAAATGCTGTCAAGTACTTTGAGTCTTACACTTCCTTTTGTAATAATTTTGAATGGGCTTTACATTTCAGTAGAGGCCAGAGGGTGATTTGTTTTTCATGAATTAGAGCTTGGTTGGATTATTAAAGGTTTTTTTTTCTTCTTAAAATGTATCTGTCACCTAGGTTTTGTGCTAGCTTGTAGTTCCTAAAAAGATTAGGGTGATGTGAATTTATAAATCTTCCTTTGTTAAAAATCAGTTAATTTCAGGGGACAAAAGTTGGGCTTGCAGCACAGCTGAGTTGACAAAATACTGGTTAGTGTGTATTGAAAACTACTATCATCATCTTAACCTTTAAACCTTTTGTACGTACTAGTTCTTACTAATTATTGGATACTGCTGTGCTCATTTCTTGTTAAATGTAGTTGTTATCTTCCATTTTTATTTGAAGACAGGCTTGTTCATGAAAAGCTTTTATATGTAAATTTTACACTTTATATGTGTTAATTATAGCCTTAATAACACCTCACCTAGTTAAGTTCAATTTTTAAGAATAATCCTTTAATCCAGTAGGATGAATATGTGTAATTGCCAGGTAAAGCATTGCAAGTTCTGTTTTAGGAGGAATTTATTTTTTTAGTATACTGCTCATTTAATCAACATGCCTTAAAATTACCTGTGTAGTAACTGAAATGCAGATAAAAATTTCCTATGGTATGATCTAAATTACTAGCTCTTACACTTTCAAAATAACCAAGAAATAATTTACAACTGGTTACATAAACTGTAATATTCTTTTGAAAGATGCTCAGCATATCCTTGCTACGAATTGTGAGAACTTTGGTTCTCTGATTCACCACCACTATAGCAGTTGAATTCAGTGTAGCTGAGGGGGAGATACGTGGCCACTGAACGTGAGCAGGTGTTGGACAACGTGTCATTGCGTTTGTTTTGGCACCAGCAAAGCCCATCAACAGCCTTTAGAAAGGGGGTTGTATCCTGTGTGTCCACCAGGTGTGTTACTTTTCTCGATGCTGATATTGCTTCCTTGCTATTAAATGTGAGTATAGGGTGTGATGTTTCCTAGTCCTTCTATTAGGGCTGTTTGAAGGTGGTTTCAGGAAGGTTGTCGTCTGCCTTTCTGATCCTTGCAGGTTTTGATGATAGATGCCAGCAGAAGGATGTGAGTTTTTAAATACTTTAGCAAAAGCTCTAGTAAAACCGCAGTTCTTGATCAGTTTGTCCCCGCAGTTTCTCAGCTCATGGACTATGACACAGAGCAGGCATTGTGCTGAAGCCCATGACATGCTCTGCTCTTTGTCAGTTGGAAGGGTAATTCTAGGCAGAACAGTGGAATGGGTTCTTACCTGCAGACCTTGGATTGGGGGCTGACTGTTGGTTCCTGTGCTGCTCTGTTGGTTTTATACCAGTGAGAATACAGTGTAATTCAAAAAAAAAATTACATAATTATAGAGCAGCACCTATTTCGAAGAGCACAGTGTTTACAAATAGGAGGGAAAAAGAGAACACGTTGAACCTTCTGGAATATGAAGGAGGAAGTGTGTATGTCTGTGTGTGTTCACACAGAACTGAAATCCTCAATGGACAAGACAACCATATAACCATATATACAATTCATTTTATTTCTGACTTGTGTCTAATTTTAAGCGTGGCTGTAAAAATTCCCCTCTTCCTAAAGCTGATCTTTGTGATCTTAGTTGGATTTTTGTAGGGACCTGTCTCAAAGTAATAATGACAAACTGCATGGTAACTGTATTATTAATTAGTAAAATCTTTGCAAAATTACTGGCTTAGATCTGCTGTGTTGCAGAAGGCTGGCATCAGCATCACTTTCTGCTAGTTCAAACCATGATCCTCCAGAGGATTAAGTAGCTGTGTAAATTAATGAAGAAAAAACCTGAAAGAATGTATAAGAGCAATAGTGTATGCTGGAAGTTTATTCTTTTTTGCATTGAGTGACTTAATTTTTGCAATAGCCATCCTCTAAAAACAGGTCTTTTTTTTTCCTGACTCAGAACCATACTTATTTCTTAAACGATTTCCCTGAAAACAATTCTGATTGAAATCTACATCTAAGACTAAATGGAGCACTGAAAGAATCCTAGAATCATAGAATGGTTTGGGTTGGAAGGGACCTCACAGATCATCCAGTTCCAACCCCCCTGCCATGGGCAGGGAAACCCTCCACTACACCAGGTTGCCCAAAGCCTCATCCAACCTGGCCTTGAACACTTCCAGGGATGGGGCAGCCACAACTTCTCTGGGCAACCTGTTCCAGTGTCTCACCACCCTCTGAGTGAAAAATTTCTTCCTTATATCTAATCTCAATCTCCCCTCTTTCAGTTTAAAGCCGTTGCCCCTTGTCCTATCACTAAGAAGCTCAAACTTATTTTTCGCTACTGTGGGAGTGGCATAGATCAGGATATCGCATTGAAGGATACCTTATCGAAAGAAAGCAGAGGTGTAGGGAGCTGTGCTTGATACCTTACACTCAGAGTAAACTAAAATGTCTTGAGGGATAGAGGTGGCAAGCAGATCGGTGAGGAAAACTTCAAGATGAACTGAAACACAGTGAAAGAACTGTCGGTCCCATCTGCAAGTAGAATGAGCACACTAGATAATGCTTTTGGAAGAGACTCTGATTTCCTAAAGACTTTATAAAAGTGCCTACAACCTCTTATGCTCAAGCGCAGCCTCAGAGCATTAGAAAAGAGTCAGAAAGGTTTATTACAGGCTGAGAAAATAGTTGTTTCGAAACTGTTAATTGGCAGTAGTGTGAAGTACTGGAACTAACACTGCAGAGGCTTGATGTCTTCTGGGTTCTGCTGGTTTTTCTGTAATTTAGTGCTCGTCTTTCAGTGCATATTGAATCAGTTTGCACAGTGCAGCTTCCTGATTGCTGTTCTATGGGAGATTTTAAACTTTCTCCGTAATGTTTTCCTCCTTTTCTGGCAGGAAAATTATTACCCTTTATGAGTAAGGTAACTATATAGGAAATGTTTCTTTCCAAAGTCAAATATCACAACCTATTGGAAGATTTACTGTTCAATAACAATGGACTTTGGAAGCTATCTTCCACATATAACTTGAGTGGTTATATGTGTTCTAACTTTCTAACTCTTGTTCAAATTCTGTTCGTGCCTTGTTCTAATTCTTCTCTTTTTCCAAATTTCAGGAATTGTGAATGACAAAGATTCCAAAGATTCCATTACAGAAGGAGAGAATTTGGAAGAGGATGAAGAGGAGGAGGAAGGTGGAGCAGAGACAGAGGAACAATCTGGAAATGAAAGTGAAGTAAATGAGCCAGAAGAAGAGGTGAACTTAATGATTTGTGTTGCCTCACATAAAAAGAATGAGTAATCAATATTTTGATTACTCCTTATTTTCTGAAGCCTGCCTATGTCACAGAATTAGCAGGTGAAATGTGGGTATGCACAACCCGGTCAGTACTCCAAGGATATTTCCATCCCAGTTTTGTATATATGGAAAACTGAATACAGAGTGTTTGGGGCTTATTCCAGAGAAATTACAGTAGAAACTTGAACCTGACAACTTTGCTCAGGGTATGTAGTACTTCTCAACAGAAAGACGCCTTCAGTTTTTTGGCACGAAAACGCTTTCAGATAATTTTCTTTATCTGTTGTTGAAGCGAATGTATTGACTAGATGTCAAAGCAGTCGTGTA